AAACTCACCTATCGAAATCTTTTATCCCTCATTCGATTAACAATCCTCGACGCATCACTAAACCTATTAGCCCTCTCATAAATCCCAGCCACCAGAAGATGCAAATCCTTCTGGTTCACATTCTCATCCCTCTCCAGCCTACCAAACAACTCTTCAACCCTCTTGAAATCCCGTCTCTCCCCATAAATACTCAGCATCTGAAAATGAATCTCGTCCGAGAAAACACACTCTTCCTCCATTTCCCCATACACCCTTTCTGCCTTCTCAAACTCTCCCATCTTCCCGTACGCATTCAGAACAAGCCCCACAATTTCCGAACTCGGAAAACACCCCATTTTCCTCATTTTCTCAAAAACCTCAACCACATTACTGAACTTTTTATATTTAGAAAAAAGATAAATCATTTGCTCGAAAACCGATAAATCCTTTATTTCCCCACCTTCAACCGCCTGCCTGAAAACCCATGTGGCCTCTTCAACCCGGCCCGAACGGGCCAAGATCCTGACAGCTGTCTCCCTAGGAATATTATCGTTATCGGGCCTCTTTAGCTCAGTTAACAGCCGTCTGGAATGGGCCACAAGCCCAGCTCTCTCATAAGCCACTATCATCGTCTGGTAAAGGACTTGGTCGATTTCAATGCCTGAGCTTCTAAGCTTCTGGAACAAAATGGCCGCCCGATCCAATTTTCCGAATTTGCCCCATATCGAGATTATCGTCGAATAAGTGATCGTGTCTGGCTCGATCCCTTTTCCTTGCATTTCTTGAATCAGATTATTCGCCTTCTCGTACTCGTGGGTTTTCCCGTAAATCATGATCATGGTATTGTAAGTGATCACGTTCTGCTCGATTTCCTTTCTCTGCATCAACCTGAACAAGTGAATTGCCTCTCCAAAAAGGCCGGCATCACCGTAAACCCTCAATAGTGTATTGTAACTCACCACATTAGGCTCGATTTTCAATCTTCTCATTCCCCAGAAGAGTTTGTCGGCCTCCTTGGCCATGTCGAGCTGGCCGAACACATCAATCATGATGTTGCACGTGATTAAATCGAGCGGGCACTCGATTTCTCTCATTTCCCTGAAAACGGAAAAGGCCTCCCGAAACTTTTTGTTCTCGACGAATGTTGTTAAGAGAGTCGAGTAACTAAGTGTGTCGGGCTCGACTCCGGCAGTCCTCATCTCGTCAAGAAGAGCGCGGGCTTCACGGAAAAGCCTGGCCTTTCCGAAAATGTTGATCATCAAGTTGTATGCAATTAGGTCAGGACGGATTCCAGATCTCTTGAGGCGGGAGAAAATGGAGATGGCTTTAGAGTAGTCACCGAGCTTGCGGGAGAGCTCAATTAGATTACTGTACAGAACAAGATCTCCACGGACATTTGCCTGCTCCATTTTCTGAAGCCAGGAGAGGGCGTTGTCGAAAAGGCCCGATTTACCGAAATGTGTGATTAGGGTTGAATAAGTGTACCTGTCAGGGGACAATCCTCTGTGGGACATTTCGTCGAACAGGCCATGGGCGATGACCCACTGCTTCGCCCTGAGTGCATTGCGGAGGACGACGTTGTAGGCGAAGACAGAGGGGGTATAGTGGGCCTCGTCGTTCATCCAGTCGAGGAGGGCGAGCGAGCGCCGCCAGTCGGGCTCGCGGGAGAGGAGGGAGACAATGAACCGCGAGGAGAGGACGCGTGATTTGTACGGCGACATGAGGGAGTGGAGCTCGCGCTCGTCGCGGGTCTGGCGGATGGACGACAGGAGGTCGTCCATGTCCACGCGGTGGTCGATGTGGACGGAGTTGTGCTTCCGGTGATGCGGCGGGTCGATGGGTGTTGGTGGGGCGGGCGAGGGTTGCCGCCGCCATACGTGTTTCGTAGGCCGCGGCAAGGAGGCACAGGATGGAGGATGGGGCTTGCGTCGGTGTTGTTTGATAATTCCCGGCGATAAGAGAACGGTGGTGGTCGGACGGAATGTGGGGTGCTGCGCGGGCAGTGGGCTTGCGGGGAAAGAGGTCGTATTCATATAAACGGTGCAATGGGGAAATAGGTCGTATTCATATAAATATTGCTGACTAGATATGAGATGAGACGCACAACGGTGCGGTGGTGGTGGCGGTGGCGGTGGCGGCGGCGTTGGTATGTTTTCCGGGATCAGTACTGACCGCAATTGTTACAAGAGCCACTCGCTGACTACTGTGGAAAATATCGAGTCAGCAATGTTTATCTCCTTGGGGATCGTCTCGTAGGTGTTGATAAAGTGCTATAAACGAACAGAGCTTGGGCTGTTCGAACTCGTGTTCGTTTATGTTCGAACAGTGTTCATGTTTGTTCATTTATTTTTCGAGCAAAAAATTGTGTTTGAGTTTGTTCGTTTAATTATTCTTTCGTTCGTGTTCGAATAATTTAATACATAAACTTTTTAAATATGTTTGATTAACACGAAATTTGTTTGTTCGAACTCGATAATAAAAGAATAAAATAAAAATATTTTGTTTTAGATTTTTTATTAAAAATATTATGTAAATATATAAAAAATAAATAAAATTACATTAAATTTTAGATTTTTATTAAAAATATTATGTAAATATATAAAAAAAATAAAATAATATTAAATTAATGTTCGCGAACATAATCTAACATTCACGAACGAACTAGTGTTCGTTCGATTATTAAACGAGCCTAATTTTCTGTTAGAACTCGGCTCAATTAACAAACGAACGAGGTTTTGTCGAACACAAAAAGCTCGAACGAGCTTTCGTTAGCGAACGTTCGGTTCGTTTACAACTCTATTGATAATACAGAGTTACCAATTATAATTTGGTATAGTTTATGGGATAAGAACGTAAAACACACAATAACTGCGATCGTCAAAAAAACAGAGAGCGGCAACAAACTATTTTATGAACCGGTCCAGGAACGTTTCGGGATGGGAGACCGTCCTAAATGGACGTGTATAATTTGGGACCGAGACAAGATGGTTAAAACGGGACAAACATTTAAACTAAATCAAAGAGTATTGATTCCATTAAAGTTTAACACAAACAACAAACATATTGGTTCCATGATTAAATACACCGATTCAAATATTCACTTAAACTAAATTACCAAAGAGTATTGATTCTATTATAACAAACATACCGATCCATTAAGTTTAAGTCACCACTCACCAACATCTAAGATCTAACATAAACATTGTCTTTAAAACAATATTACCAAATGCATTGTTTAGTTTTTTTCTTCTTTTTTTTTTTTAAATTTTTTTTTTGGGTTTGATTGTTTATTTTTGTTTTGGACAATTGAGCTTTTGTTTTTTATATTACAAAGTTAGAATGCTATTGAAGATTGAATGCCAAAATGACCTATTGTTAGTTATGTAATTGGTACTATAATACTAATATATATATATATATATATATAGGGATGGGTTCATGTGAGAAAGATGTTAACGAGAGAAAATGAGAATACATCCAGTCCATAGGATTAAATCGATCTGACGGTAGCAGATCCTTCACCAGCGCATAATTAAAAGGACATACTAGTAATTTAAATAAAGAAAGCAAAAGTGCTTCTCACATAATGTGCGAATAAATCACAAATCAGATCTTCAGCATCAAGACATAAAATTAGGGATCTCGCGATTGATTGAGCTACGAACAACAATTGGAGGTGATAGAGAGTGCACCCACGCCAATCACCCATATGGAGTATATATGAGCTCGGGGAGAGTTCACCATATCCATATTCTGTAATTTGTGCTCCGATTAAGATGTCATCATCAACAAATTGATTTCTGGACCTGTCGAGCTCCGATCATCTCGAAGAATTCAGTCGTTTTTTTTTTCCTTTTTGTGATAGGCGCACCAATTGATTAACCCGAAACCGTTTCTGTTGCAACCAATGGAATTGAGCGATACTCAACCAGGTATTGTGTAATTTATATCATTAAATGCACATAATTTAATTATAGATAATATTCTGAGTAATATGCAAATTTCCTGTATGAATTCCGAATTATCAAGCCATATCATCTTCATATGAATATGCTTATGTTCAATATAATTTGTGCATGCTAATGTACTTAAATGTGCATTGTATTATGAGTAATTGTGCAGGTTAATGTACATAGGTGTGCATTTACTGTATTTTTTTTTTCTTTTTTAGCTTGTTCTTATATATTCGCATAAATTACTACAGATGCCGCCCCGATCGAAACGTCCAAACACCATCAACTCGTAATAACACCTGGAGGCACTAAGTATTGGATACCCCACTGTGATGATGCAATTCGACCTCACATTGGACAGCGGTTTAAGGGATTAAATGAGGCAGTTGATTTCTACATGACATATGCGTCTACGGTTGGTTTTGACGTCAGAAATAGCACATTGGTGAAAGCAATTGATAATACGACGGTGCTTTGGAAATACTTGGTGTGCTCACGTGAAGGCTTCAAAAAACACCCGAACACAGGCCAAATGGTACCTGATGTGGGCCGTGTAAGAAGGCGCAGGGTCTCCAACCGTGTTGGATGTAATGCACGAATCGTGTTGCGAGTTGATGGAAAAGACGGTTATATTGTTAATCTTTTTGAGGAGAAACATAACCACACCATGGCCTCTGATGAGTGTAGGGCACAACTGAAGATTAACCGAACGATGACTGCCGCACACCAAAACTTTGTTCTCAACTGTATAAAAGCAAACATAGGCCCCACCAAGTCGTACAAGCTGTATAAAGAGATGATTGGCGGATATTCGAGTGTTGGTGCAACCCATGTGGACTTCAAAAATTTCAAAAGAGAACTCCTTGCATATATTTCGGGCGCCGATGCTCAATTGGTAATAGAAAAATTTTATAAACGTCAAGAGAATAGTTCCGCCTTTTATTTTAAATATGAGCTGGATGCTAATGATTGCTTGCGGAGGCTTTTCTGGGCTGATCCAATATCAAGAAGAAACTACGGCTCTTTTGGGGATGTTGTATCGTTTGATGCAACGTATCGCACAAACAGGTAAATGAAATCCCACACGTCCATTTACATCAATTCTGCAGAACTAAAATATTTTATAATCATACTATATATATATATATGACCGAAATGTATTGATGTCTGATATAATTGGATATTGTAGGTACAATATGGTCTTTGCACCTTTTACCGGGATAGACAATCACAACAAGTGTGTGACATTTGCTGCCGCTTTGATATCAAAGGAAGACGTGAATTCGTATGTATGGGTGTTCGAAAAATTCAAAGATGCAATGATCCAGGAGCCCAGCTACATAGTGACAGACCAAGATCCCTCTATCGGAATTGCTTTCACAAAGGTATTCACTAATAGCAAACACCGCTTTTGCATGTGGCACATAATGAATAAATTATGTGATAAGGTCGGCCATTCCTTAATTAATGATGTTAATTTCAAACGGCGGCTAAATGAAATTGTTTGGTCTCGGAGCATTGAACCTGCTGATTTTGAATCTAAATGGGCTGGAATAATGAATGAATATTCGTTGGAATCACATAGTTGGTTTATTGATTTGTTTGCTAAGAGAGAGCACTGGATACCGGCATATTTTAGAGATATTAGAATGAGTGGGTTGATGAGGACCACGTCAAGATCGGAAAGCGAAAATAATTGGTTTAGCAGCTTCACAAATAATCATTCTAGTTTGGTAGAGTTCTTGTTACATTTTGATAGTGCGATGGATGCACAACGGAACAAATCGATGAAGTTACAGTGCGATGATGAAACTCATCAGGCCGAGTTAAAAACTCCATTGTCTATTGAAAAGTCTGCCCTAAATGTATACACCACAACAATATTCTATCGTGTGCAAAATGAAATATGTGATGCATGTTACAAGTGTCGAGTTATGCAGTTTTCTGAAAATGGCAGCCACCTGACATTCGTGATAAAAGATGGTGATGGGAAAACTTTTACGGTAATGCACGATGTAGTGCTTAATACATCAAACTGCTCATGTAAACACTTTGAGATGTATGGACTGTTGTGTAGGCACATTTTTGTTGTGTTTAAGGACATAAACGTGGAGATAATACCACGTGAACATGTTGTGTCGAGGTGGACAAAACTTGCCGTCACGAACCCTATGTTCCGTATACTCGATAGCATTTCTGAACAATGTGCAGAGCGGGATGAAAAGAAGTTCATGATTAGTAGGTTGTGGTCTGACATACATGTATGCATGGGGTTGGTTGAGACACACACGGACCGACTTGTTGAGTTTTCGAAAATCATTGGGGAACACAAGAACAGACTATTGGCAGGTCAAGTCGGTGATTCGACTGACATTGACAAAGAACAGAGGTTTGATACATTTGTCGGCATGACTGCTCCACAATCGGTAAGCATTCGTCCTCCAACACAATCAAAAAACAAAGGAAGTGGAAAAAGGTTCAAGTCGGCCAAGGAGAAATCAATTGAACAGTCCAATAAAAAAAGAAGACTTTGCAAGACGTGTGGTGAACGGGCAGGACACAATACACGTACCTGCCCTAATAAGCAGCAACCGAGCGTCTAGAAGTGATTGGAGATAAAAGGTACCAGTTGTATTGTTCTACATGTATACATATATATTAAATAATATTCTTACGTCTACATTGGATATTGTAAGTTGTTTGTATTTAATACTATTA